TGGGCAGAGCGGACGGGCCTGGGGACAGGAGAGGGGGGACGGGGTTGCAGGGTGGGGGAGGGAGAACAGAGAAGGGGTGGAGGGCCCCAGGAAGGAAGGCAAGAACTGCAGGCCTGGGAGGGTACCCCCACAAATGGGGGTCCCCCATGAAGCGGGGTGGAGGGCGGCATGAGCTGGCCACTGCTTGTGGGAGGAGGGGACACGGCTGTCCCCCTAAAGGCAGCTGTTCCGGATTAGCAGCCCCCACACCCTGGAGGCCGGGGCTGCCTAAGCGCGGTATCGCCAGGGAGACTGAGGCTGGGGAGCTGCAGGTGGGCGACCTGGGGACCCCCTGCCCATGGCCGGGCACTGAGGTGGCAGTAAGAGGCCGTGGGAGAGAAATCACGTCCCTCTGGAACCTCTGGGCTAGAAAAGGCTGTGCACGGGACCCGCATACCGACGGCCGGGCCTGCAGGAGCCGGGCAGTTCATGGCGGCAGGGCTGGGTCCCGGGGTCCCCGTGAGCCGAGGGGCCCTACGTCCCACAGGCGACAGCACGGTGGCCGGGGCAGCGAGGTTTGGAGAGGGCCCCAGGCGCCTCGGTGGGCCATGTCCCCGGGGTTGTGCACGCGTGTCCACACGTGTGGCCAGTGACTGGGCACGGCATGGTCAAGCCAGCTGGCCCTGCCTGGGGGCTCCTGGATGCAGGAGTCAGGCCACAAAAGCAGCAAAGGACACGCAGGGAGGGGCGGGCAGCCGCGGCAGGATGGCCGAGGTGACGCCGACTCCCGGCGCTAAGGGGCTCACTGGGTGCCGGCACAGGACCCGGGGAGCAGATCCGGGCCTTTCGTGCTAAAACTATCTCAAGGACCACTGTCCAGGCTGCATGGCCGGCTGTGTGGTTCGAATCCCAGCCCCGGTGGCTTGAAAAACACATGGCGCGGTGTGCGTGTGCCCAAAACCCCGAAAGCAGGGGGACACGGAGGGGGGCTGCAGCACGGCCGTGCCAGGGGTGCCCGCTCACTGTCCCGCTCGGGCTCTCTGCTGGGCGCACGGGCCCCACTGCAGAAATGTAAGCCGACGACAGTGACGTTGTCCCGGCACGGCCCCCGGACCAGCACCAGGGGCGGCTAAGGCGCTGATCCCGCACGGCCGGCTGCACAGTTGGGTCTTGGATCTGATGTCTTGAAAACCACACCGGGCACACGCGTGTGTCTGCAATCCTGAAAGAGTGGGGGAGGAGCTGCGGCATGGCCGTCCCCAGGGCTGAGTCCTCAGTCCCCGCTGTCCCCCTCTCCTGGGAGCACATGCACCGTGATAACGAAACCCTCCCTGGGCTGTCAGAAACGTCAGGAAGCATCTTCCCTAATACCCGGTGACACGGTCCCATCAGGCAGCCCCGCAGGGACGGGGAGGGGCTTCTGCCGGCGGGGTGGGGCGGGGCGGCTGCCCACCGGGCTCCTTTCTGGGGGGATGGAATGTTCTGGAAGCAGACAAGGTGCAGCTGCTTCTGGACGTAGAACCACCCCGGAGCTCCCCCTGACGGGGACACTGCGGCATGTCCGTGCCCACGGACGGCTGAGAGGGGGTCGAGGCCAGCCCTGGGGCCCG